TCAAGACTTGTTAATAATGTGATTATAATCTTTAATTACTCCATCTACTTTCAAAATAATAAATAAAAGACAAGTAAAAAAATAAATTCAAAATTGACGTCCATCACTGCATCAATATTACTTTCTATGTTCATTTATTTTTCTTTGATGGAATATATTTAATTATCAGCCTACCTTAATTTGAGACAGTCTATATATACTCTTCTTTGAGTATTCTATTGTACCAAACAAAGATATGAGGATCTTCACAAAGCTCTCTGCACCACTCTGCCTCCTTTTTGTCTTCCTCTGTCTTAAAACTGCCTTCTCATCCTCTATACATGCTTCTTCCTTCTCAACAACGCATCTCTGCTCTCATGAGGAGGCTCTTGCTTTGCTGCAATTCAAGACATCCTTCTCCGTCGATTATACTGCTTCTAATCCTTATTTATGTGAATATTATTATACCAAACCTTCTTCTAAGACTGAATCATGGAAGGAAGGTATAGACTGTTGTTCCTGGGATGGGGTTAGCTGTGATAATGTCACAGGCCATGTAATTGCTCTTAATCTCAGCTGCAGTTTCCTTTCTGGCACCTTTCCTTCCAACAGCACTCTTTTCTTCCTCAGAAACCTGCAGAGCCTCAATCTTGCTGTGAATGATTTTAGGCATTCCAAGATTCCATCGGAAATCAGTCAGTTTACTAGACTAAAGCATCTTGATGTCTCTTATTCTCTGTTTTCGGGCCAAGTTCCGAGAGAAATTGCTCACCTCCCCAAGTTAGTTTCTCTCAATCTCTCCAATTTTGCCTTGATCCTTGAAACAACGACCTTCAAAAATCTTGTTCATAACTTGAGTGAGGTGAGAGAACTTGTGCTTCTTGGAGTGAACATGACATCTGTTAATCCTCGTTTATTCATGAATCTCTCTTCTTCATTGACTACTCTTGATCTTTGGGAGAGTGTGTTAGGCAGAAACTTTCCAAACAGTATTTTCCGCTTCCCAAATCTCAAGAGATTTAGTTTAGGTGGAAATAGATTTAGTTTAAGTGGAAAGGGAAACCTCACTATTGATCTTCCAAGTTCCAATTGGAGCAGTCCTCTCCAACATTTGTATTTATCTGTCATGGATTGCGGAAGGCGATTGCCGGAGTCTATAGGAGATCTAAAGTCATTACAGTCTCTGGGTCTTCTTGACTGCAACTTGGAAGGTTCCATTCCAGCATCCATAGGTAACTTAAGGCAACTTACTAGCCTAGACCTCTTTTCTAACAATCTTAGCAGACAAATCCCATCATCACTTGCAAACCTCACCCAACTTACCTCTCTTGATCTTTCCAATAATCAGTTTTTTGGTCCCATTCCAGGTTCCATAGTTAACTTAAGGCAACTTACTAGCCTATCCCTCTCTTCTAACAATCTTAACGGACAAATCCCACCATCACTTGCAAACCTCACCCAACTTACCTTTCTTGACCTTTCCGATAATCAGTTTTCTGGTCCCATTCCTTTTCATGCAAGTAGGTTTTCCAAACTAAGCATTCTAGACTTATCTTATAACTTACTTAATGGCACTTTGCCACCTTGGATTTTCACCCTACCTTTGTTAGAGAACTTGAATCTCAATCATAACCAATTTCAAGGTCAAATAAATCAATTCCAGCAAAACTCCCTCACACGCCTAGATTTGTCAAACAACAAACTCCAGGGCTCAATTCCTAACTCAATTGCTAATTTAGTAAATCTTAGCTATCTCGATTTATCATCAAATCATTTTAGTGATTTAGTAGAACCTAACATGTTCTCGACGCTTCAAAATCTGGAAACCATCTCTCTTTCAGACAATAATCTGTCCTTGAGAATGAATGTCAATGCCAACTTCACATTACCCGTGCTAACTCATGTTTCCTTTTCTTCTTGTAACTTGAGTGAATTCCCCAATTTCATAAGACATTCAAATGGTCTGCAAAGCCTAGTGCTGTCCAAAAATAGCATTCGTGGAAATATTCCCGAATGGATATGTGAAAAGGATGATCTCGAAATTCTTGACCTTTCTCATAACAATTTATTCGGGAAGATTCCCAATTGTCTTTCTAAGTCTCTCTCAGTGTTGAATTTGCGGGCCAATTACTTTGATGGAAATATTCCCAAATGGATATGTGAAAAGGATGATCTCGAAATTCTTGACCTTTCTCATAACAATTTAATGAAGGAGATTCCAAAGTGTCTTCCTAAATCTCTCAGAGTGTTGAATTTACAAGCCAATTACTTTGATGGAAATATACCATTTTGGTTTCCAGAGGACTGTGGATTACAAAATCTCAACTTACATGGAAATCAAATGGACGGGCTATTACCAAGGTCTTTGGTGAATTGTAGCATGTTAGAGGTTCTAGACGTCGGCAACAACAGCATAGAGGATTCATTTCCTCATTGGTTGGAATCTCTACCACACCTTCAAGTGCTTCTCTTAAGGTCCAACAAGTTCCATGGTTCTGTCCAGAGCACCAAAGAAAGTCCATCTTTTCCCAAGTTACGAGTTCTTGACCTCTCCAACAATGATTTCCTTGGTCCTTTGCCTCTTCGGTACATGGAAAATTTTAAAGCGATGATGGACCCTCATGGAGAGGATGGTTCCCCTGAATACATGAATGTCTGGCAGGGAGCAGGAGTCAATTCTTATCAATATTCACTGGTTGTGACATGGAAGGGATTCGAGTATGAGCTGCAGAAAATCTTGACCGTATTCAGTAGTATTCATCTCTCAAAAAACATGTTTGAGGGAGAAATTCCAGATGTTATTGGAAAGCTTAGTTCTCTCAAAGGGCTTAATCTTTCTCATAACAACCTTACTGGTCATATCCCA